CTCGTCCCGTACCGCGTCGGCCCGCTCCACGCTGCGGAGCCGGGCGCTGTGCGGCAGGCCCAGGTGTGGCACTTCTGGCGGCTGATAGAAACCCCCGTTTGCAGCCGCAAAGGGAACCAAATGGTACCCCCTGTTGGGCTGTTTGAAAGATCCTTATGGAAAAAACACATGAATTGCGCTCAGGCTGACACCAAATGGAAACCCTGCTCGAAATATATGGTTTCTGCCGGTAAATGATGAGAAACTGAAGCCAGACACAGCCTACATGTTCCAGTAAAGCGTCATGTTCAGCTCTCCAGCCATCCAAATCCTGTTTTTTGTCCAAGCATAGGATGATTTATTGATTCATCTGTGAGTACGTCCTGAAGCTTGCCTGGATCCTTCACAAAAAACGATGTAAGTCTCTCTCAATTTGGGCATTCAGTGTGGTGATGCATTCAGGGAGGCTTTTAATTAGCGGTCGAGGGCTTTGGCCTTGCTGATGGCAACTTGTTGATGTTTGCGTTTAGGCGCTAGGTCTGCTAGAGTTCGGAAACTGCAAAGGCGGATTTGGAAACTAGGAGGGCAACTTATTCGGAAAGTAGAAATCGGAACCGGAAAAAAAAATAGGACTCTGAAATGAGGCCGGGGCCGTGGTTTGATGCTGCTTTATGGGGGGTCAAGTGTTGGGTGTCGGGTTGCTACCTGCCACAGCCTGCTGAGGAAGGGTTGGAACGACCGCCTGTGCGTTAAAGCCGCTGTGCGTTAAAGCCTGCTGCGCAGGCAGCAGAATTCTCGCAATGCTTGGCAGGGCACATCAATTTTGGCGCAGCCTGGTAACGTCCATTCTTCGGATCCATCAATTTCGGATCCAGCAAGGTGAGCACTTCACTGTCAAAAGAAGCATGATTGAAAAGACCGGAGATTATGCTGCCGGATCAGCGGATTGTGGCTGGATTCTGTTCTGGTAGGGCTTGCCAGGCCCAATGAACACTAGGACAGACCGCTCGCAGACTTTGCCTGAAGATCGCCGGTGGGCAAATTGACATGGCTGCTTGCCGCCGTCCATGACAACCATGCCTGTGGTAAGCTTTCATGCCAACCGTTCAGCCACCTCGGCTTGCCAGACAACTAAGACTCATGCCATGTACGATGTGCCCTTGTTCGGTTGTATTCCCGCACTTGAATACATGTGGGACCTTAGATTAGCCTTAGTCCCTAAAGTTGCCCGTTGGATTGGTGCACTTCGAAGGCTCTCCAAGCCTATAAGCTCTTTGCCACTACCCTTCCTCCAACAAACATAGCATCTATGGAATATATGGAGGGGTACCTAGAAGATCAGTTTCCTCTTCACTGGACCTATGTTCGTGGGAGGAAGGGTAACTCCACCAATCTGATCCCTCCCTCCAAACCTTCAGACAGCCATCAGAAACATTGAAGCTGGCAAAATGCCATCCTCCCAACTCTTAACTCCCAACTCCCAACTCCCAACTCCCAACTCCCAACTCCCAACTCCCAACTCCCAACTCCCGTTCTGAGCACTCACCATCCGCCTCGGGGCCTGGACTTGGACGGGTTTTTGCTCCCCGGCTTGCTGCCACCGGGCCTGGCACTGCAATGCACACGGGCAAAAATTGGCGCATTGGGCGAGGGGTTAAACGGGGTCGAAGGGGTCGAAGTGGTCGAAGGTGATAGAGGGGTTGAGGCGGCCGAGGAACTAGAAGTACAGGAGAATGAGTCAAAAGGCGCTGTTGCAGCTAAAATGCAAAGCTCTTGTCCGCTTCTGCCGGTGTCATACTCAAGCATTGCAGTCATTCACTGAGTGTATCTCAAGCTCAGGGAACCCCCTAAGTTAAAAGAGAAAATGGTGGTTGTCTTTTGCTTCGAAAAGCATATCTCAAAAAAGAGGCGCCCATATCATCCAGCATTGCAACCACACGCACGACACAGCACACCGAGATATGCATACTGATACACTTGAAAACATGCATTCTTGGACACCACTGACAAAACGACAACGTGGCTCCTTGTACTTCCACTCGAAGCAATTTGTCCCAGTGAACAAATCTGGAAATCATGCAAGGTGCTATCTTCAAACAGGCTGCGCCGGCGGCTTCGGCTTCAACTTCCGCGTGCTCCCGCCTGTGCATGAAAACCGGGATGCAAATGACAACAAGGCTCCAGCAACAACAGGACCAACCAAATCCAAAAAGAAAGCTTCCAAATAGATCGAACAATTGTCGGAGTGTTCCCTCCTCTTCATCCGGGTTAACATCTTTCGTTGGGGTCGCATCTGGGGGGCAATGCAGGCGTTGCCCGGCCTCGCGAGAAGGCATTTCCACCCCCAGCCTGGGACCGGCTTCCACATCCACAAGTTGCAGCCCGCTGTACAAGCATTGCTGAACTCGCAGTCAAACTTGAAGCTGACACTATCTATTCCCACAAATTTTAACAACGCTGCGTGAACCTGGTCAGCATGACACCTATGATTTTTCCGCAACTGCTCGTCGTGCCTGATGTTGCCCCCAACTTTATACACGCCACACGCGCAATATCTGAGCAAGTTGAGCGCGGTAGCGTTCTTGGAATGACAAAAAGCTGTGCTGCGAGCCCGCGTCAATTGTTTCCCAAAAAGTGGGTCCTCTCCAAACTAAGAAGTGGCTGACAGTCGGATTACGTGTTGCTCAGCCAAAGATCTCGTGGGACCAACCATTCCCAGCCCTTTTTCCCCAGCAAGGACACGTCTTGTTGGAGCTGTAGAAGTAGAAGCCCTTGCAAAACCATTCAAACAAACAAACAAACAAACAAACAAACAAACAAACAAACAAACAAACAAAACAAATAAAAATAAACTTAGTAAGTAGTTTTTGATTAATTAATTAATTAATTAATTAAATAACTAACCAACCAACCAACCAACAAACTAACTAACTAACCACCCAACCACCAAACAAACAAACAATCCAAACCAAACCAAACCAAACCAAACACCCACCCCGCCGGCGAACAAGAACAAGCCCGCAAGCGCGTGTCACGCATCACTCGCTCCCTTCTTTTTGGGAAACTAAATCTGCTTGCCAGTGTGTGGAAGGCACGCAACGCGCGCTAGACCACATCAGCTCGCCGCCTCACCAGACTGCGACCTGCGACGCCGACGGTTTTCATGCGCGTCCTCTGGTTGAGCCCCGACAGGCCCAAGTCCGCACGTCCCTCGCGACACAGAGATCCCTGTCTTGACGCTGGCATAATCTGGAGAACCGACCTGGTAAACTGGAGCGCTGCTTGTTGCAACTGCTACCGTTGGCTCTTTTTTTTCCAGCCACGCACGCGCAGGCAAGCACGGCGTAACAGGCGGTAGGGCAGGGTCAAGGCGAGAGCCCTTGCGGCGTGGTTCTTGCTCACCACACCCACTCCAACGCTGCTCCAGGGGCTGCCTGCGTCGCAACACGCCGGCACTGCAGCCTGGTCACAGCGTGGAAGCTCAAACCAACTTGTCTCCAACCACGTCAGCGTGTAGGCACGCGGAGCAAAGCACCCACGTTCTCACAGGAAACTCAGCCCTTGGAGATACGCGGCCCGCCACGCGCAGGTTTGGAGGTACAGTCCAAACACACAGCCGGGCCGGTACGCAAGGGAAGGCTGCAGCTTTAGCGCGGCTTGGAGCCTGTTTGATTGTTGACAATCACGAAGCAGTCCTTTGTGAGAGCCGCTTCGCCGGGGCGAGGTTGGGCGACGCAACGCCCTCCAGGAGCTCGACAGCGCCTTGCGAATCACAGGCACTTGTTGCAGCCCGCCCGACAGCTCTGGGCACAGGAATATTTTCAAAATCTGGGCAGGCCAAACCCTCGCGCGGCGGGCGCAGACAGTCCTGCTAGTCCGCAAATCTGCTCGGGCTGCAGCTCAAAGCGCAGCGCTGCCTTGCAGCCTTGTAACACATGGCTGCAAACTGCTCCTTTCGCCTAGTTGCGAGCATTCTTGCTACAGTTGGGGGCTGTTCTGGGAACTTACCATCTGGCAGCACCAGGTACCACAACTAGGAGCAGAAGGAGAGCTAGCCTTTGGACTGCTTAACTATGTCTTGTGAAGTGTCTGGAGAAGCAGAGGGGGTCACCTTGTTGGAGTTGATCCGCTCTGGAGCAATTGCACCCACAGTCTTTTCTCTGGCAGGCAAACTCTCCAAAAGCCGCTGCATTTTTTTGAAAACGAGGGCGGCTCAGCCTTGACATCTACCCCAAACCTCGCGCAAACTATTCAATTCCTTACTGAATTGACGCTGAGATCTTGCCGAGTTGAAAAGCCATTGAAGGCTGATTGAAGGCACGGGGTAAACATCTACAGAAAATGCCTTCGCAATGCTTTGGCTGCCGAAGATGAAGCAACGATATGCACAAAACTGCGATTCGCAACCTCGACCCCCCCCCCGATAACCTGCCTTCAGGTTGCAAGTAGCAAGCCACAAGTATTAAGCCATCTGTCCCTCCCGAAGAATGTTGCAGTGTCTGGTAAACCCGAAACGCCATAATTACCTCTGCCGCAACGACTCGAGCACCCAGCACCAGGCACGGGCACGCAGCCGACCTGCCCAAGCAGTTACTTGGGCCCCAACTGGGGCAATGGGGTTCAAGTGCTGGAAGTCATTCAGCACAGAAATGTGAACAAAAGAGCCTGTATCAACCGGAGCCTGTGAACTGGAAATTCACCCGTCACGTGACTGGATTCGTCAGGGCTCTATACGACTCTGCTTCTGCTTGTCCCAGCCTCAGAAATCCGCCCCTCTTGCAAGACAAAGCCCAGTGAAGGCCTGACGGCTCGGACACGCTCACGCTCACGTGCCTCTCGCGTGCTAAATGGTCTGTCATAGAAAATGACTCGTGAAGAACTTCAGCCCCAAGGACCTATGTGTCAGCGCTACCCGGTTGCCGGTTGCATATGTGGATATACACCAGGTGCAGGCGAGTGACAAAATCAGCCCAGGTGCCGGGGACAAAGCCATTCAAAGCTCACATGGGGAGCTGCACCATTGCACCATACAAAAAAGCCTGGCTCCGAGGTCAACGTCGGATTCTGGCTCATTCTCTTGTGGGTTCTGTCAGGTGATACACAGGATCCACCTAACTTCTGCTTTCCTAGAAAACATCAAAATGGAGGCCTCACACATCCCTGGCTGCACAAATCGTGTTAAAAAAGAAGCTCATGTACTAAAGAGATCACCTCTTCGAGCCGAGCAAGGCAGCCACATTAACACATAGAACTCGCAACTGCCCTTCAGAACTTCAGGAACCCGTCCCAAGACCACAAGTCTGTGCGCGCTTTGCCGCCGCGTCTTTTGCCGCAGCTTTTGCCGTTGTCTTCTGTCGCACCCGTCTGGGCAGGTCTGTAGGCACCTCACGGAGGCTTGGGACCGCAGCAGACACAATCGGTTCAGTGGACGAACTGTGTCGATATTGGATTGCCGATCAAAGGGCAAGAAGGCTGCTCTCGTAAATCGGATCCGAGTCATTTCCCGATTCAATCTAGGTGGAATCTGGGGACTCGCCAGCTTTGGATCGTTTTCATGATTACACCTCGAGGTAGCAGCTGCACACTCACACCATCCCCGTTTCTGGGCCTCCAACCTCCACCCCCCTGCCCCACCCTCACCTCCACCTGGGCGGCCGGTGTCTCGCAGCGACGCAGTGCCACCTCTGGCATTCGGCTTCGACTCGCTCAGTACACCGAAGGATTGAAATTTGGAGTTCGACCTAGCGGCCAACTCAAGATGGGGTTGCTTTCACGCCCCTCCTAATTATTTCCCTTGGCCGCAACAAAGTCGTCCAGAATATGTTCCTGTGCCTTGAACAGCCCAATTCACATAGCGCGCCTCGGCCAAGTCGCTCTTGGTGTCCCGATTCTCCCACGCACGCTTGGAATTTGTGGTGACGTCATCCTCAAAATGCAACATGTCGCCGGGGTCGAAGCGGGCCCCCGCAGATTCCAGAACCATACGAAAACTACCGGGCAGTACATTGTTGAAGATAAAACGGTTCCACAACCTACGTGTTTTCATGTTCGGTCTGTTCATGGAAGGATCATGCTGTTGCCTTTTTAGAGCTGCCCACTCTGCCAATGGCAAAGCTTTCAGTGACCGAGGTCGCTGCTAACTGGGCGTCCGTCAAAGAAGTGCACCTCAGAGCCCGCACAATGGAGTCATCATGTGCCACCGGTTGTTTGCCCACAACTGACATCACAAGTTGCTTCGTCTGTACTTGGTTTCATATTGGACGGTAAACGGGCTGTTATGTGTTTTCCCAGTGCAATTGATGTTGCATCACCAGATATCTCGGAGCGAATTCCAGGGCAACTCATGGAAAGTATTGGTGTCGTGATAGGGTTGGACATTGCACAAACAAAAGTTGGCCTACGCCGCGTTTGTCTACAGGGTTTGGCCAGCACCCCACTAACATTGAAGTTAAAGCCAGCCTTTTCCACGGACAAGAGCTGAAACAACTCGCCAAACACCTCAGCAAAACAAGAGCCAAAAGAGGGAGCAGAAAAAAATGAAGAAGCAAGCAAAAGGAACAAGCCAAAACTGCCCGAGCGGCTCCCGAAGATGCTTCTTGGCGACCTCCAGGGCTGCCTCGCTGAGGCTCCTGACAATGGCAAGGTCGTAACGCTTTACCTTTCTGGGACGTGGGCAGCGAGCAGCCACGAGAGCAAAGTCCAGCACTGAAGACACTGATACATCCTGCTATTATTCGGGAGCAAACAAGCAAACAAAAGATCTACTCCTACCACCCAATCCATGAAATTCCACAGCTTCCCAGCTTGGCTTGTTGATTGATTCTTATCTGTGGACTTGACTCAAGCAGATCCCGCTCAAGGCAAATGAAGTCCAGGGCATGCATCCAGCCACCTTGGAAAGAGCTTCCGAATTTGGCCTGTACTGCTACCCAGTTTCCTGGTTGGCATTCCATCAATTGTGGTTCGAGTATGCTGATCAAAAGTTCTTCCAAATTGCGATTTGACGGCTCTATTCATTTCCAATACGCCGTGCCCACTCGGGGTCTTTTGGCCTCTGCGACATTGTCCGAAGCCCCGCATGGAATTCAACAAGGGATGCTGAAGCCTGAGCGGCACAAACACTTTAACTCCCAAACAGCAGGATCCACCACCGGCCATCCTCGCAGCTTAGCAGCCGTGGCAGCCATAGAAGTCATGCTCCCAATTACCGGCGAGCCCATCCAAACAGCTCCACACGTATGCACGCACGTACGCACACACGCACGCACGCACGCACGCACTCACGCACGCACGCACGCACACGCGCGCACAAAAAAAAGGAAAAATAATCACCCGCTCCTGGGCTCGCTGGGGCGGATGTACTTCATAAGCCAAGCCTTCCAGATCGCAGTCTTACGAGCAAGGGTCCTGCAAAATCCTTTCTCCAAGGGACAAGATTAAGCACAAAACCTTGGAGATTAACATTCGAAAAAGAGGAGTGAAGAGTCAGTGACGAGCACCACAACTAGATTTCTTGTTGGATGCCACACTCGCCAATTGCTAGAGACCTGGGCACATGTTTCAATTACACCCTTCCCATACGGAAAACACTTGCACGCAAGCCAAGCTGGAGCATTTTTTGCACTGTGTTTCTTTTCGTTGAGAACCCCAAGTCATGACAAGGGGAACAAATAGCATGCGAGCCGCACAGGGCTTACAGTACTTTGTGCGAGCGTGCATTTACTTCAATTTCGCACATGACTAATCTCAAAGTTGACTCTTCGAATAGAATTGGTGCAGGGTTTTGTTGTCTTTCCCGCTAGTAGAGTCTAAGCCAAACCTCAAAAGCCGCAAATGCCAAATCCAAAAGGTACAAGTGTCACCGCCAAAATGCAAAAAGAGCCCACGCTAGTTTGAAAAACAAACACAGCGGTGGAAAACAAGAAGTTGAAAAATGGTACCATTGAGTAGAATCATTGATTGATTTGTCTCTGGCTGGCAAGTGACGTCAAAAGCAGCGCTAAGATGTCTTCTAATTATGTGCAATCTCGCCTTGATGTGCTTGAAATCCGCACCTCATTGCGCACGCAAGGATGTTTCAAACATACTGCTGCTAAGCAACTCCAAATCAACCTCAACACTATGCTCTTCTCACCTCGTGTGCGCGGCCGTTTGGGCCTGAAACAGGCGTTTGTTTGAGAGCACTTTCTAGGGCTCTGACCGAAAAATCGATTGGGGTAAAGGAAAAGCCGCCTGCAGGTGTCCTGCAAGAAAACAAACGCCTGGACCTGTGCAGATCTAAATCTAAGGGGCTGCGAGCCCTGCCCGGTGGATGATCGGGTCTTCAAAAAGTTCTCATTCGACTTGGCTACACTTCAACACCAGAAACACGTCAATAACTGAATCAAAGAAAAGGCAAGTTTCAAACAAATGAAATTACAAAGCACCCCACCCCAACCCCCCCCCCATGTTGCTTTCGGCTAGGGCTCCAGGCCTAAGCCGGTGAAGCCAGTGATGTTGGACCCAGCCGCACCTGGACCTCATGCGGCGAGCATTGGATAAAAGTCACTCGCTTCCCCCAACAAAAACTTGGGAATTGGGAATATCGGGTCCGCCTAACTTTTGGCTCACCCATGTCCCCCCAAGGCACCGGACAACAGTCTTGGGTCTGAGTTTTCATTGGGAACCGTTTGGCGAACTTCACGTATCTGGGGATGTATGTCCGCCATCTTTTTGAGGGTGCCCTCATAGAAATCATAGCCACTTGAAAGCCATGTTTTGCCTGTTGTTTCCGTGAAGCATGCGTTACGCCTTTTGGGGCCAGCAGTATCTCTTGGGCTTTGTTTAGCCAACGACAAGCAGAATCGACAAAAGCCCCACAATCAAAAGCCACGCAATCATCCCCTCGATGAGGAGCAGTGGATTCTGGGAACCTCTGCAGACGTCACGCTGAGGGGGCAAGCAACACGGTTTGGGCTGCAAATCAGACGACCAACACAAAAATCCCCGGTGGATAAAGGAATCCCGGAACAGTGATCAGGAAAACAGTCCAAGTAGGCCTCTAATCAGGAAAATAAACATTAACCCCTTCCACTCCGGGACGGCGGCTCTTGGGAGCCTCAAGCTTCGGCTCGGAGCCTGAGCAAGGGACAATTCGGCGATCAGGGAGCCCCCATCTTGGCCCAAGGGAACGGTTTGAATTGCTTTGTTTCGTGTTGAACAAACACAAGCATGAAACGCCCAGGTTCACCATCTCCGATCATGGTGCTTTTGCGGAAACGAAACGATGCAAGCAAAGAAGCGCTGTATTCCAGTGTGTGAGACATTGGAGCGTCCTGCCAGCGTCTTGCCAGCAAACAGGTCTACATCCCGTAGAGGCCATGTGCTGGGGGCATGTAGAGGGGGCGGTGTCAAACGATAAAATATGAGTTTGCTTTTCTGAAGACTTGGCAGCAATTTGCTGCACCTGCAACTTCGACCGATTCGGGTATCTCCACTCTGAAGAACTGGCTGGAAGGGCTGGGCTGTTGCCAGAAAACTTGGGTACCCCAACGGTCGGCTTGTTGGTTTGCTTTGCCACCGTTTGTACTGTTTTGAAAGCGCCTGCAAACAGGGCCGAGCCTTCCGGAGCAGCTGGCCGCATGTTGCGGAGCTGCACCTCTCGGAAAGCCAAACGAGCCAGCTCACTTGCACAGCGGGTTGATCACATTCGTCGGGCAACTCCAAGACAATCTGCAGATTCAACAAGAGCCAATGCAATTCAGCCCCAGTGGTCAAATGATGTCCATTATTTGACCATTATTTTATCCCTAGCCGAAGGGAGGGAGACACATGTTCGCAGCCCACTTTGTCACACTCTCTCCAAACGCTCCACGCCTCGTCTGGAGCGCCCCAGGCGTGCAGCATATTGCCAGCAAGGATGCCCTCCGCGTCCGGGCGGTGCAGCCGGCCTCTCACCTGCGGCCAAAAGACTGAACCTCGCTTGCCGGAAATGTGGGTTCACCAAGTGTGGCAGACTTGGTTTTGGTTCTGCAGCTGCCAAAACTCCCGCCAAAGTGGCGTGAGTGCTGGACAAACAAACTCATCTGAGGGCCGCACGCTGGGATCTCGCAAAAGATCGAGGACCGACAGGCATTGAGGGTACACGATCTCAGCGAGACTCCGAACATGAAGCTGGTCATTCAATAAGTCAGAGTCGCCTCTCCCTGCAAAGTCCAAAATGTGTGGAAAGAACACACAAAATCAGCCTGTTTGCAGGTGCATTGCACATCACACCAACTCCTGGTGACCAAATCAGTACTCTGCCGACTGGCAGCTCTGTCTTGGTGTCTCAGGCCGCGGCGTAGCGGACGTATTGCGGGCGCCGCCAGTACGTCCTCACAAGGGCGGTGGCTAAATATACAGCCCAAATCCACACGGGCATGCGACAAAACTGATAGGAGAACATTAACCTGAAATCAATCAGATTCCAATCGGCACTTTGCCATACCCCGATCGCAAAAGCCTGTTGTCCGAAACCTGCTTTGGGCGTTCGCTTCTTCCAGTCGTCCTGAGGGCGCCGCAGGTACTCCAAGAATCGTTGGAACCCCACGTCCTGCAAGAAGCCCTGCGCAGCCAGCCACTGCCTGGCTGTGGCATGTTTCCCCCGAATGCAGCCTGGCGGATTTTCCAGGTCGTTTCCCTAAAAGTGAAGGGTCCCCTCTTAAATGAGCGCACGCCCGGTGAATTCCACAAAAGTTGACTGGGTCAACATTATCTCTGTCACGCCACTCAGGGAAACTCCGGCGATGCCTTAGCAGGAACTGCCAGGTCAGCATTTGCTCACATATCAGTTTGGCCTTCAGTGCCCACCCCAAAGCAACCCGCCGGCGGAGCACGTAGGTCGGATTCGCCAGGCACTGGACAAACTCCAACTCTTCAGCAAAGCGCCGCGACCTGTGTCGATCTAACCTCGCCAACCACCAGTGAGTCATAACTGTCAGTGCCTTTTGCGTGTGAATGCAACCAAAGGAAACAGCAAGAAATGCAACAAAATGGGCTGGCATCACCGTCGCAATCATCACCACTACCAACTACCATTACTTCCAGTAACATGTTTTTTTATTGCCCTTTATCCCAAGTACACTCATCACAAATCATTCACTGCTCGAACCCAACCCTAAGCCGCTGCCCCTTCGACAGAGCCTGTCTCGCGCCAGGTCCTGCAACTTGGCCCTCAGCCTCAGTCCACGAGACCTACCCTCCAGGTGCGGGTACGAGTACTGCAACCCAGTACTAAGAGAGCTGGTTAACAAATCACAGTGTTGACTCAAACCATGGCAAACGCTATACTTTGGATTTCTTCATGCCTTCCTTTGGTGAAGTTGGCAGGCCGAAGGCGATCCTGGCCGAAACCTGCGGGCCCCGAGTATTTTTGTCATTTTGGGCCAAAAAGGGTTGCAGAATGTCTCACAGAAGCCCCGACTGTCTGTTTCTGAAACTAAGCCTCGGAAATCTTGTGCCTACATAGCGTGCCATGCAAGCGAAACATGCCAGGTGTGTACAGTACATGTGGACCATAGGCTTACAGGAATCGGCGCAACCCTCGCAGCTTGCTTTGCATGCTCCAATCCGCCGAACAATTGCGCCACGAAAACACCATAGATAAGATCTCATCGGAGGCAAAGCATGAAAAATAAGCCCTTTCCCTATTTGTCCCTTTGTGGTCGTTGTAAACATCACATCACTTTTGGGCGAATGTAAAGTGATCTTCCTTTCGATGGGGGTGATGTTTTGCGTCGACATATAGGGAACCTTGGTGAAAAGGTGGGCCTCATGATATCGCTGTATTGGACCCAGCCGAAATGGCCAATGACCGTGCGAACCGGCCAAGGCGCGCAGGCCTGCCGCCCGCTTCGGGGACCTTGTGGCCTTTGTGGGCCTCCTCACCCGAGATCTCGCCGTCCGCGTGGCCCAGGAGCCTCTGGGCTAAACAAGGAACCGTCTCCAACTCGAGTCGCTTACTTGGTATCCTGTCGAGGGATAATCAAAGGGAAAGCCATGCTGGTTGAAGGGAAACCAAAATGGATCGGGAAGTACACAAGTACCTTTGAGCAACCTCAAGTAGCCTTGAGTAACTCGAATTCAAGTGGCTTCGAGTAGCCTCCGGCATCTTCAATCGGAACGCATGTGTTTCAGCACATGTCATATTAATTGAATGCACTTAAAATCAACCATCACTATCATGGAAAGCAGGGAAACGGGATAGTCTGCTTTCGTGCACCAAGGACACTCAGACACTCAGAGCCACACTCGCCGGAGAGTTGCCACACTTGCTTCCTCAGATGCTGCCGCCCAGGCTCATGAGCCAGCTTGTTGGCATAGGAACTCATGCTCCTTCCAAACTGGACTGACAGAAGTTGTTCCTGCTGATACGGGCGATTTTGGCCCTTCAATTCATGCAAAACCCCACTGAATTGCATAGCCCGTCAGCTCGCTGGTCAGCATGTCACGCTTCGATCGACACCCTTCAACACGTGTGGCCAGCCCCAAGAAAAGACCACGCCGAAACCAGAATCCCTGTCCAAAAAAAACAAAAACATCCGCTCATGTCCCGCTGATGTCCGCTCATCCCGCCGCTTTCCGCTCATTTTCTGGGGTGAAAACTGGCCGGCCAAAGCAAGGTGTCCGCTCACTTCGTTCTTTCCGCTCAAAATCTGCAACGAGCTACAAAAATGCCCAGACTCTGGGATTGGCTGTCGTTCCTGCGTCGCATTGCCAATGAGAACACTACGACCTGCGTGCGCCCAGCGAGTCGAGCAAAGGCGCTCCACTCGGCGCCGCCTCTGCTCCGCCGTCTCCGCAAGGCGCCGCACCTGCAAACTTGGGAGTGCGCTTCGGTCTGGGAAGTCGAGGTGCCTGAGATCTCTGCTTCCTTTTGCCACCGCAACCAAAAATTGGACCGGCAAGAAAACCATCGGCTCCCGTGTCGGTTCCTCCCCGAGTCGCCTCTGGTGCAAGCTTGGCGTCCTGGCAGGAATCACTGTCGGTAACGCACATTTGTTGTTTCCAGGGCACGGAGAGAAAACTTGGTATCATGAAACTGTCGCTCGTTGCATGACAAAAACAGCTTTGCTCACAACCCTCATTTGTCCTCAAGCTGCGTGCTACACTTCACTCATTGCTCATCTGCACACAAGTTCTTTGACTCGCTGTTTTCTTTTCTTTTCGGGGGGGGTTGACTACAAAGGGAATGAAGTTCCCCGATTTCGAGACTCCATCCATCCCAGACTCCTCCTGCTGCAGCTCCAGCCAGGCAGACTGAAAGCTGGCCTTGTCCCAGGAGACCTGCGCTTCGCACGTGTGGTCGCACGTGTTTCCAAGGGACCCTCTCGGGTGGAAGGTCTCTGGGTTGATGTCTGTGCGTCTCTGATGGCCATTTGCTCATGTCTGTGCCGCAAAAATGCTCCGCCAAAACAAGGTCGTTTGGACCACCAGGTGCAAGAACTTAAATTGCGCTTCCGAAGCAATGCCAAAACTAGGTGTTTCTTGAAAAAAAACGTACTCTTTGCTTCAACCCCTCCATTATTGGCCCCTCAAAACTGACTGGTTTCTGGCTTTGCTGTTCCTTTGAAAACCACTGGAACAGGCAACCCTCAGTGCTGACATCCTACCTCCCACATGACCGCTCCCACCCACCTCCTTCGGCAGTCGCTGCACCAATTGCTGGAATTGGCCTCCCGACTCCACCAGGCCTCGTCCATGATATGCAGGGGGGACTCAAATTCCCTTTAGTTATACACATGTTTCCCGTGGTTTCCGCATCTTGACTACGAATATGGTTGATGATTATCCCCATTCCACTTGAGCCCACATGCTTGCAGGGTTCTCGAGGTCTGCGCAAAAGCCCAGCTGAGGCAACGAGCCTTGCGCCAAGTCTTCTGCCAAAGCTTCCCACGCAGCCTTGCCCTGGCAGCACGAGAGCTGACGAGCTGACCACGGGCAAGAAACAAAGGCATCCTCAATAAAAAAGGGACACACATGCATGCACACTTATCCATACATAGATAGATAGCTAGACACATAGCTAGATAGATAGATGTGTTTCACACAACCACATTCTCGCGAGCAGGAGCCTGCGCGGCTATGTCCGGCTTCAAGAGCGCTTTGGCAGCATTGTTCAGGCGAACGATGAAGTCCTCTGCTAAGCAAGCAGGCAGTTTTGGTTCTGATCCCCTGCTTGCTCTGGCCCCAGTGACGGCACAGACGCCTTTTCGCCAAACGGCCGAGCGCGCGTTTCCATGCGCAGCTTCCAGCTCAGCTTGACGGGCGCGGAAGTCGCTGCATTGCACCGACGAAAGCACGGTAGAACGCAGGTTGGTCGCGGATCCTTACACACTGCTGATTTTTTTACACTGGTGTGGTGGATAGCTTGCCATGTCGGCATGAACCCAAAAAGAGTAATCACTGCCTCATCACCGTGGCTCTGGCCTCATGGCTGTTTTCCGCCAAGCATCTGCCGCAGCAGCAGGCAATTGGGAGGCTTTCCCCACTGGCCCTTCCAGTCCGCGATGGACATGCCCTTGGTGATCACCCCCGCAGTCTCCACCTCCACGCGAACCTCCTCACCCTCAAAGAGGTCAGGATGAACCAGATACCTAGCATGAGAAGCTGATATGTGTATATATATATATATATATATATGGTTGTATCACGCTGACGTAAATGAACAAACCATATCTACATTATATACATATAAAGATATATATATATATATATATATATTATACATTTGCCTCGGCCCCGTCAGGTCTATCCGTGCTCCAGCTGCCTCCAGCTGCACTCACCAAGCGTGCAGCTAAGGCGAACCACACAGCCCCTGGCGCCCAGACTGCGGGCTGCGGCCAGCCCCGAGCGCAGGACGTTGCTCCTACGGTTAAGCCCCTAGACCTTCATCCACCCCACAGCTCCCACCCCTCAGCTCTTGGAACTCCACCGTTGCCGCATTCATGCGTGTGGCCACGCATTCCTGCGCGGATACTTTCACGCAGCTGATGCTTGCACGTATGGCCAGGCATGAACGTCGGTTCTTGCCAGCTGCCCAGTTTCCCACACCAGGCCCTGGAGTAAGAATGGAGACCAAAGGAAGCCTCAAAATCCAATAGCGCCTGACTGAGACTGAGAGGGGCAGCGCGAAGCGTTTACAATTGTGGTCCGCCCACATCCGCCCATATGTCTGAACCAGCACTGCAGCCTATGCATTGCCTGCTTGCTGACCAAGCCGCATGATTGGAACTGCATCATGCGCCGGCGCCAGGGTCTCACCCCAATCCTTAGTCTTTGTATGCATCAGGCCCTGTATGTACGACGCGAGGCCTGAAGACCGGCAAGTTCTCAGACTTAAAGCTGCTGAATGACAGCCAAGCAACATGATAGACGGTGATGAAGTTCTCGCACAAGTCCCAAATGAATTGCGAAAGGGGCAAAGATGACTCTTTGCATGCCTGTCATCAGGCTGAACCACCATTCAAAGCTGTGTTTTTGCCGAGAACCCTCAGGGCTCATTGCATATCGCCCTGACATTGAGTTTACTTTATGGAAAATAAAGATGATACTTGGGCGAAGTTCAAACCTGTCAGCACCCACCAAACACTCCAACGACCAGCCTTCCGCAGGGGCAGCATGTCTGTCTGGTGCGTGATGTCCAAACCTTAACGGCCCGAGGTTCCGGGCTGAAGCACGCAGGGGGGAGGGGGGGAAGGGAATGTGGGTCTGGTTAAGATTTCGGAAAAGACCCCAACCGAAAACTTGCGCCAAGCCACCAGCAAGGACGACCCGGCGGAAGCCAGCTGTCAACACGGCCTGTCCATCAACTTGTTGGGTTTCCCTCACATGGAACGGGCTTCCTTGGGTCCAAAGGTCCGAAACAAAGTGCTCCGTGCCTGTCGCATGTTTTTAGCCGGGCCTGCCCACACTCAGCACAAAGCAGGGCTCCCTTGTCTCTCGCTCAGAACTGCAGGTTTGTCTCGGCCGGCTCGTCTCGCAGATTAACTCTTTGAGTGTCTGAGGCTGCATCAGCATCAAACAAGATACATTGGAGACATGCCCTTTACACCTTTAAGGCAATTGACGTAAACACCAACAAAATTGGATGAGGTTCTTACATTCATGGTCGTTCTGGTCTTCCCAACATTCTCTGCTCCACTGTTCTTGGTGTTGAAAAGAGGGTGGGTAAACGGGCGGATCTTCCTCGTGTGACATCCGTTCTCCGGGAAGACAACGGCAAACGATCCCAACATCACACTCGTGCGGTCGGGTGCGTCGGGTGCGTCGGGTGCGTCGGTCGGGTCCCACCTGGGCCGCCTCGGGGCCGTCGAAAAAGTTGGCCTCCGCCGAGGGCGTGCGGTTGCCGCGGCGCTCCCCGAAGGCACCGCCCATGATCACCACCTCGCCTCGCTGCCGAACGCAACTGGCAACTGAAAAGGGCGAGTGTGTAGGGTCAAAGAGCAGAAACATACCCAGCGCTCAACCGGATACTTGTAGACTCACGAATTCTTGCAACAGACCAAAAGATTGACGCTCGGTTCTCCCTAGCTTGAGATGATGCGATCCCCAAGTGCAAGTTCAGGGTCCTGCACCCCAACAACACACCTCAAATGACCTAATGCCTCATCCGCCCAGGCACGGACCAGCTCCGGGAGGTCGGGATGCTCTTGCAGTGCGGAGGCCACGTTGTGAAGGGAAGCGATGCAGACCAGCGTAACCTCCCCAGGATGTCCTTAAGCCAAGACTCGGATTTGTTGATTTAGTTAGATATATATATATATATATATGTGTGTGTGTGTGTGTGTGTTACATGTGTATATATATATATATATATGTTCCAGGCCGTGGACCCCCCCCCCCTCCCCCCCCACCCCCCCCCCCCCCCTGTGGGGGTGGGTGGGGTGGTGGTGGGGTTGTGGGGTGGTGGTTGTGGTTGGGCCAACCCCCCCCCCCCTGTGGGGGGTGGGGTGGGGTGGTGGGGTGGTGGGGTGGTGGGGTGGTGGGGTCGTGGGGTCGTGGGGTGGTGGGGTGGTGGGGTGGTGGGGTGGTGGGGTGGTGGGGTGGTGGGGTGGTGGGGTGGTGGGGTGGTTGGGTGGTTGGGTGGTTGGGTGGTTGGGTGGTTGGGTGGTTGGGTGGTTGGGTGGTTGGGTGGTTGGGTGGTTGGGTGGTTGGGTGGTTGGGTGGTTGGGTGGTTGGGTGGTTGGTTCGGAGTTGGTTTAGGCTTGGTGGGTTGGTTTAGGGTTGGTTCAGGGTTGGTTCAGGGTTGGTTCAGGGTTGGTTTGCGGTGGGTTTCGGGTGGGTTTGGGTTTTGGGTTGATTTAGGCTTAGGGTTGGGGTTAAGGAGGGGTTGCAGGGTGGTTTGGTTTAGGGTAGGATGTTGCGAGAGGTGCGGGGGTGTTGGTTCACGGGGTGAAAGGGGGTCTGGGACCGAAGCTGCAGGGCTCGCACGGTACTGGACAGCATCCCCAGCATTGCCAGCATCATCCCCAAGATGCGGATGATGCGGGGGAATGGGGGGACCATACCATTGGGGGGGGGGGGGGGGTACGTGGCCCAGGGACTGGTACATATATATGTGTAGTTGTATATATATCTATATGAACACATGGTCGAGCCCTCACCCCCCCCCCCAATCCCCAATCCCCCCTCCACCCCCCTCCCACCCCTGTGGCGTGGTCGGTGGGCTGGTTGGAGTCAATTTAGGGTTGGGTTCCGGGTGGTTTTCGAGTTTAGTTTCTTTTTTTGTTACGTATATTTTATTTAAAAAAAAAAAAAAATGAAGGCAAAGCGAGAGAATCCAAAAAGCAAAAACCCGCCCTACTCTCAAGCCCATGCAAGTCTGAGACACTTTTGCAAACATCGTAGATCAGCTCCGGTGCTGGCAGCTGGTGAAAGCCTGAATAGTCCGCATCACGCTTGCCATATTTCACACCTTGGCAGTCGCTGTGTTCTCCATGGATCAACATTGAATGAATGTAAAGAGCCAGTCGAACATGCCCATATTCCCCTTCTCAGTCAGTAAAACGTGAATGACAGCTGCCATTGCAACAAAAAGCCAGGGTTGCGCAAAGGCACAAATGACAGGCAGGCGCAAAGCACCCCGACGAGCAACCTACATTGCCCATGTGGTCAGCTCCGTGCACCAGCTGCTCCTTCATGCCTCGACGCTTGACTGTGGCACCTGCGTCCGCGGCTGAGAAAGCACCCCTTGCAGGCAATGATGAAACTCGCGGGACTCCCATATAAAACCGCCGAAACAAGTCCTTCTGGCACTTTTGGTTCACCTGTGTCGGGGCTGGAGATCCATAAATGTGCAAACATCCTTAGCATCATCAAACTTGCCGCGCAGGGTGCAATCTCGAATAACCCGGCACTTTTGTCGTTTCACGATATTTCGATACTCTCAGTTGTTTTCTCAAAGCCTGACTTTTTAGCAGTCATGCAGTCTCTCCGTTACATGTCTCTATAACTGCAATCTGACGTGACACTCCAAAGATGCCCGATGGAGGAAATCCAGCTCTACCCTCATCGATAAACAGCCTTCTGAGACATCTCCCTCAGGCTGCGCGCCCAGGCTTACAGGCACCGTCTCTGCGTTCGCCAAACGCAACAGCAGCTTGGCATTCGAACCTCCGGAAAAAAAGTGGGAAAGTAGCTCAGCCAGAGTGTTTCTCACTGAACCAGAATTCCAACGCAAATGAAAACGAAGGCTAGGTTTCTATGCAGCTCCATCAGCACTGCTCCAAAAACGGCACATCATTCAATAGCGGACATCGTCACTGCATGCGGATAAACTTCGGGCGAGGCACCAAGCGCTCGAATGTCCTGGCGCGCGCCAGTCTCCAAAGATGGCGACCAAAAGCCAATGAACGTCTTTTTGGGGCAAAAAAAAAGGACGAAAAAAGATGAAAAAAGATTCAGCGCCGCTGTCCTTGCCGTTGCCCATGGCGATGGACAGAGCCTCCACCTGGAGCTCTGGGCAGCCCAGGGCCAGCAGAATCGCCAAGGCGTCATCCACACCTCGCTGGACCGACCCCTTACTGAGCCTCCGGCAGTCTGGGTACTTCGGAGGTCATTCCAGTTGGGAAGGCAAACAGAACCGGGATGCTAATTAATGTGGCGAGTTATCGCTCTGATACAAAACCGCCGTATCCCTTGAAGTTTCATCGCACAAGCCTGGGTCGGTGTCAATGATGATGCGCCGGGGGGAACCTCGGATGTGCATGCTGCAACAAAGGGTACAGCAAGGGTTGAAAATAGCCTTTTTAACACGAACCGTGCCGAGCATCTCGCAGGTTCACATTCTGCGGGTGTTGATTTCAGCCAATGGCGAGCAGGCACGGTAAGTGCCAACACCTCGAGAAAATAAAATAAAAAATGCACTCCTTCGATCTGAAATTGGCCACAACCACTAATCAGCACCACACACACACACAGCGTACTCTGTGCAATGCTTGAAACTCTCCTTTGCCAGTATGATGCGTTCCTCTGCGCAAGCACCATAATGCCAGTCCGCTAAATAAGTTCCGTACGCCCGCAACGTGAGAGACTCGGGCACGCGTCGCCACTCGTCGGAAGGCATGGCTGAACATGAGAGGCTGGAAGCACCTCAATCGCTGGGTTCATAGTTTGGCTACGCCCAAAATCGCGCTGCAATCTACATTGCAATGGAAGCAGAGCGCAACCAGTCCATGTCGCGAAATGATGTTGAACTGGGTTTGCATGTTATCCCATGGTGGCATTGTCCCAAAATGCATGCGTGAGACCCTGTACTGTTTGGCCAAGCGCGGGGAGGCGAGCATCACATCAATGCATGCATTTTGTGGCGTGCTTGCAAATCTTGTGTACCATGGTGCTTGGCAGAAAGCATGGCATTCAAATTCTGCCACTACCCCGCTCCTGCGTAAGCACGTGCAGCTGCGTGACAGGGCTTCCAGATTGAACTTCAGACATTCCACAGCAAAACAGTGGTATGGTCTGATGTTCTTCACAGTGCAAATGGACGCAGTACGAACGCAAACTGTTTGATTGTCTTCTGGCTGGGCGACATCAGCACAATTTGGCATCACAATTACCATCATAATGCGCATAACGTGTATATCATCTGCACATAAACTCGAGCCACAAGCGAACTGTCTGGCAATCAAGCATTTCAAAACATGGGCTTGGTTCTGATTCGTCTGATTCCGTGTCGCTCCCAAAATTGTGCTATGAGGTGAGCAATTTGGAGCGGAGTGCCTGGCAATACCAAAAACGGAGGCACATGTGAACAAAGCATGAAATAAGAAAGATTGAGTAAGCCCCATTCTGCAAAAGCTCCCGCGCTGCATATGGGCAGCAGGCCATATTGCCAATGCTGAAGCAATGTCATGTGAGGCTGTGTCAAGCAAAAGCAAACAAGTAAAAATACACCAACTGGAACCTGCGCGGCGATGTTTGTTCCCAATCGCCGACCTCTACTCTTTTTGGTTGCTTTACAAACTTGCACCCAGTTTCAGAATCCAGGCGATTACCAACTTTTAGAATTCGGGTAACGAATCCTGCCGAGCCCAGCAACGCGCGATTCATTGGTTGAAAACACAATGAGGAGGAAAACCTTTAAATACAAACCCGGAAAGCGGAAAGTGTGCGATACGGTGGCGTGGCTGAAAGTTCGGCACCCCTGCTGACACAAACGCCCTTTACTACTTGGTTTGTGCCAGTTGGTCTGTGTGCAACTTTGTCCAACTGAATGGGTCTGTTCAGGGTGGTTTGCGCAAGTTTTATGCAACTTGCCCTGTGCAAGTTGACTTGCGCAGAGCAACTTACACGGAGTTTGTTTGTTCCACGCGGCCATTTGCGATCACACAGGTCCGCAGTTTTACCAGACTGGAAAACGAACAGCTGCGGAAAGTCACAACCGAAACCCAAAAAAACACGGAATCAAACCACAAAACAAAACACGGCGATGAGCGAATCGCTGAAGGCGATCTCTGCTGAGATCTGCCCAGTCATTGCGGCGTCCGTGTGGGCTGCAGAAGCACGTCATGAGCATGAGCCCACGCGGCTACCAACTGCAGGAAAATCTGCAAAGGCCAAGAAGTACTAGACAACTTGTTGATGCCTGCTTCTGTGGCTGCATTATTTGCGCCGGAAGGCAGCAGAAGGCATAATGTCCTGTCCTCCGCCTATGTGGCCATGAGTGGCCTGTAACAGGGCAATTTTTTCCCAGTGTCGCCTTCCGCATAATCGCCCGGTCGACTGAAAAGACTCTGTCCTCATGAAGCAAAGGACGGAGAACCCAAACGAATTTCCCAAGTACAGGCGGGCACATGCAGGTGAACGAAGGGGCAGGTACACGCATGGCTCAGCCATGTGTTCCCACCACGTGGGCGCCTTACGGGCCCACTGCCTGGCATCAGCCACACGTGCCGGGCCTCCACAAGCGCGCGGCCCCTGCGGCGCGCGAACTCCGCGGGGCGCGGCACGCGGTTGCCCGCCGGTCCCAGAAGAGGCAGCGCTCCAAGTCCATCTTGCACTTCACGTGCTTGCCCTTGGCGCTCACCTTGACGGCGCGCTGCAGCTGGCTCTCAAGCTCGGTGCGGGCGGCCCCCGGGGGCTTCTGGAAGACGATCATGTTGTTGATGACGCCCTGCTCCACCTCCTCCGTCCACAGCTCCAGGTCGGTTGCTTGCAAAGCACACGCCCACCCTCTGGCCCCGGCATTGGTCTAAACGTCCAGCCCCGAGTGCAAGCTTCATTGCGAAGTTCGGCTCCTTTTTTATCCGCAGGAAAAAATCCGGTCCGATGAACGCCAAGTCTTCTTGGTTGTTGCAGCGGCGGTGATCTTGCTCTTTAAAAATGCAAGAGCACCAAGTCGGTGGGCAGGGCCTTCGAGGCCGTGTCAAAATTTGAGCCCATTCTGTGCAATATCGACCCCGTCGCGCGACGACGCGCCGCGGCGCTTCTGGAGGGCGACGCGCTGGTGCTCAGCGCCCTGAAATCATTGCGCACTTTGACCTCTTGATGTGGGTCATAGAGAACCCGGCCACCGGGCTGCTGAAGACCCGGCCGTTATGGAGCCCTGCCCTGGGTGGACGTGACTTACTGCAAGTCGGAACTCCTGTGGACCATGCGCTGGAGGCCGAGGCGGAGCCTGTGCAGGCTCGGCAGCCGCTGCAAGGCGTGGCGCAGCGGGGGCCGCGGCTGATGGAGGGGCAGTGCGAGAGGATCAGCCAATCACGCGGCTGCTACAGCGTTCCTGCTGCGCTGTGGAAGGAGATTGCGCGCGCGGCCTCCTCCAGAGTGGCTGAGCAGTCCGGACTGAGTCTTCCTCTAATCCGAGGAGCCTGGAGGAAGCCCATTTTTCCATGTTTTTGAGTAGTAAGGAATGTCTGCTTATAGTAACCTAATTATTTGGGGTTTTTGGTCCCAAAACAGCCAAATTCTTCAACCCGCTGAACGTTTTTCCGATGTCACCGGTCGATGTCACCGCTCCGTTTTTGGTGCAAAAAGCGCTGAAAACGGCGAACTCCGAAAAGTGCGTTTTTTTGTGTCCGGCGTCAAAAGTGCAGCCTGGGCCTCCAAATTCGCTCGTTTTCCGCCGAAAACCTGCTCCAGGTGTTTGCAGTGCTCCGAAATCCGTATTCTGCCTCGAAAAACCTGCGAATTCCAGCCCGCCGAGCTTGTCACCGCCGATGTCACCGGTCTCTAACACGTCAGCCCGCCGAGGCACGGCCCCAGAGCCAGCCAGTGTCTGACGCGGCAGCCCGCCGAGGTGCACGTCAGCCCGCCGAGGCTGTTCCACGTAACGCGTCAGCCCGCCGAGCTTGTCACCGCCGATGTCACCGGTCTCTAACACGTCAGCCCGCCGAGGTCCCGGGAGGAATCGAGCCTCCGAAACGTCGCTACGGAGAGAGCAACGCCTAAACCATCTCACCACGGGCACTCGCTACCTGTCCAAAACGCGCCCTGTTTTTTTTTCTTTTAAGTTTTTTTTTTTTTTTATTTTTTTTAGTTTTTTTTTTGTTTAAAGTTTTGTTTTTTGTTTTTTTTTTTTTCTTTTTTTTTTTTTTTTTTTTTCTTTTTTTTTTTTTTTTTTATTTGTTTTTATATTTTTTTAATTTTTTTTTGTTTTTTTTTGCGTTTTTGTTTTTTTTGTTTTTTGTGTTTTTTTTTTTTGTTTTTTTTTCTTTTTTTTTTTTTTTTGTTTTTTTTTTTTTTTTTATTTTTTTTTTTTGATTTTTTTTTGCTTTTGGTTTTTTTTTTTTGTTTTTTTTTTTTTTTTTTTTTTTTATTTTTTTTTTTTTTTTTTTTATTTCTTTTTTTTTATTTTTGTTGATGGCCCAAAAAAACGGTCCCATCATGTCTCCCCCCCGACATCAACGATGTCACCGCTTTGTCGAAAAGTGCGCAAAAGGCTTGGAAAAGCGAGTTCGTGTGGTAGCACGGGAATTTTAAGTGGAGGATTTTTACCCTCACTGCCAGCATGCTTCAATTCATCGCCTCATGCCCAGTGGCCGATTTTATAGGACACTGCGCCACTTCGCGCGCGAGTCGACTCTCTTTGGGGCCGAAAAGTGCGCAATGGAAAAGCGAGTTCGTGTGGTAGCACGGGAATTTTAATTGAAGGACCGAGTCACCGCCGAGCTGGCCTCAAAGCTGGACAGCAGCGCGCTGGCGCCGGCGATTGCGCCCCTAGCAACGGCTGCGGCCCTGGCCACCACTGACGGACAGGTGGCCGCGCACGGAAGCAGCATCGCAGCGCTGCAGAGCTCGCTGACCACGGGTCTCTCCAACAATGCAGACCAGTCGGCCTTCGACGTGCTGGAGGGCGTGGTTGCCACCAAGAGCACCCCCGACTCAGTGGACCTGAAGCTGTCCAACTACAGCACCACGGCGGCCATGAACGACTCCATCGCCTCGGCCAACAACGCCACGCTGGCCACGGTGGCCGCCAACTACGGCCTCAAGACGGTGGTGGACCAGCACTCCCTGGACATAGCGGCGAGGATCACGCCGCTGGAGGTGGTCACCAAGGTGGCCAACGCTCTCCTGGGGGCCGTCACCGCCGCGGCGCTGGCCTCCGAGCTCGCGAGCCGAGACGCCTCCATCTCGGGGCTGCAGGCCTCCAAGGCAGACGCCAGCGCCCTGGCTGCTTACGCCCTGCAGTCGGCCGTGGACACTTCCTCGGAGGTGGACTCTAAGATAGCGACGGCCCTCTTGGACGCCGTCACCACGGCAGCCCTGGACGCCGCCCTCCTCGGCAAGGCGGACGCAAGCGCGCTGGCCTCCCTGCTCTCCAAGGTGGACGGCTTGGACACGCCGCTGGAGGTAGACACCAAGATAGCAAATGCCCTGCTGGGTCTCGCCACCGAGGCCTTCGTCGCAGCGCAGCTTGCTAGCCGGGACGCCAGCATCGCGGCGCTCCAGTGGGCCAAGGCCGACGCGACGCTGCTGGCCTCATACGCCACGAACGCCGCGCTCTCGGCCAGCGAGACCACGCTCCAGAGCGCCCTCGACGCAATCCTCGCGGAGCTCGCAGCCCTGCAGCTCTCCGGCAGCGGCGGAGTTGTTAACGCGCCGGCGCTTTTTGTGTATTTACTTACTGCTGTGTGTGTTTTTTAGTTGGGTTTGTTATGGTT